CGGACACAATCCTGTGCCATGTGCTCTGGGATGACCCTGCCTGGGCAGGGAGGTTGGACCAGATGACCAACCATGGTCCCTTTCAACCTGACCCATCCTGTGATTCTGTGATCCACAAAAATCACCAAATATATTAAAGATCAGGCCTATTCAAATCCACACAGGATGTTCTACAGTTCTGACAGTTCCTTCTTATACACAGTCAATAGGTACACTTGAAAGCCATCAAGGTACCAACACTTCACAAGTTACTATTTATTAGTTGAGTTGTTGTGTACTATACGTACATAACCAGTCTACTCCAAATGCAAAATAAAATGCATGTCTGAACTGAGGAGCTCTAGCAGACTAAGTGTTTAGAAATTATGATTTACTGTGGTTTTGTGGGAGGCCAGTAACATGCAAATCTCCAGTAATACAATCATTTGAAATTTAATGTTGATGATTAGCTCATCTTCTCACACTACAAAATCTTGTAAATTAAGAAAACTACAATATTTTTTCTAACTTAAGAATCTGTTCTTCCGGTATTCATATCAATAACTCAGATGACCAAAAGTTGCTAGCAGATCTGGTATGACTACAATCAGAAGACAGAACCTCAGAACAGAGCATTTTATCTTATCCTGCAGGCTAATATAAATGAGAACACTAAAAAAAGAAAAAAAGGAGAAAAGAAAAAGTGTCTGCTCTTTTCTACACAGGTTGAATACTTCACAACTTCCTGTGTAACTTGAAATAACACACTTAAATTATTTTCTTCCTCTGCATTGGTTTTGGAAGTGGTGGCTGGGGAGGAGAATGTGACAGCAAGCACACAATGTTATATCATATCACGACATTGAAAACATGAAATTATTGTGAATTTATAGAATGGACAACTATTTTTCTGGGACTCAAGTAAAAGCATTTTTTAAAAGAAAAGCCTATATGTTAGTAAAATAGGTCCCCATTTCATTATTAGAAATTGCATTTTGTCTACGCTTTTAATTTCAGAAGTAAAAACATGCGGTTTCTAGAAAGTCTACTGGTCAAGCAAGTCAAAATACTCTATGAGTTAATGCAAAGAACCCTAAGTACCATTCAAAAATTGAAATAGTTCAAGCTATTTAACTCAGCCTACTCTTCTTACACAAAGGGATTTTTAAAAATAGTTTGGGGGTTTTTTAAAAGAAAAGGCTTTCAGTAAAAATGAAAACTCATGGAATACTGCTCCCACCACACGGTATTTCACAAAAACTGAAGAAAAATATTCATCACTCATAAAAAAGTGATTGAATCCTGTCTACAAAGGTTAAAAATTGAGAAAAAAAATGCAACTTCTAAGTGTGCATAAAATAAGAATGCCCAAAAACCTGTGTAATGTCTTCATCACACATGATATAAAGCCTGGTAGCCTAATTTTGTTCCTTTCCATGTGACAACATATCAAAGTTATACTACTCAACGATGTCCTTCCATCCATCCTCTAGTGAAACAAGTAGCAGCAGCAAGAAATAAAACATTCAGGCAGCAGCTTGTCTAAGACATACCACAGTATTTGTTTCCAGTCTCTGTCGCCAGTACAGTCTGTTACAGAATGTTCAATATCCCTACATTGCTAGACATGCTCTCTGTATCCACATCTGAGACGTGATTCCCCCATTACCTCTACAAGGAACATGCAGCTGCCTCACTCTGCTGCAACCTTGCCTTGTGTGCTCTGAGCCACAAAAGGCCTTATGCTTCTCAGTTATATTACATACTATTGAAGGAAAAACCATTATCTCAAGGCCTGAAAGATGGATAACCTACTCTTTTTTCTCATCTACTGGGACTACAAACAGAGCACCATTTGTCTCACCTTCCTTCCTTTATAAAAACTGTATTTTCACTGCAACAATTTATCGTAGTTATTCATCCTTACCAAAGCAGTTCATTTCCATCTTTTCTTCTTCTTCAACTACTCCTAATATCTTTGACATAAAATTGCATCAGAACTTCACTGCCATGTTCATCCAGGGGCTGGATGAACACAGTCCTCCTTCCCTGTGAGCAATCCTGAGATTAGCTCAGTTGGTTAGAGCCTAGTTCTAATAACAGCGAGATTGTGCATTCAATCCTTCTATGAGCCGTTCACTTAAAAGTTGTGAGTCCGTTCCAACTCAGAACATTCTGTGATTCTGTGAATCTAGAATTCTCCATATTCAGCTACCTGCAGTCTTCTCTGTCTCTCTCAGGTTCAAAGACTGGCCAGGATACCATTTCCTTGCTGACCAGCAAATATACCATATACCAAAAAATACCATTTTTGCTTGATGGCATTGGAGGGTTTGTCATACCAGCAAAATACAGCATAAAACAGCAGGATGTTAACATTTTACCCTTACTTCAGCTGCAAAAGTCATGATGATGAATTCAGTAATCCATCTCTCCCTTCATAATGGGGGGAAAAAAAGCACCCACATACTACTATGATGAAAGCAGTGTAAGAACTAATATTAGGAAACAGAACCTGCTATGATGAGTTTATTTCTGCTCTCTAAAACATATGACCACTATGCATCTTGCTCTGATAAGCATAGAAGAAAGGGAAAAATTTACTCCAAAGCTTTTCAATGTGGATAACTGAAGGATGATGGGAGATGAGTATCCAAAGAAGTCACCACCATTTTTCAAGATGTGTGATGATTCAGACTGAGTATTCAAGGTTAGTGTTGCATTCAGTGGCACTTCAGCTACTATTGACAGCCAGAACTAGAAGCAGCAGACCTCTGTCTTCAGAGGGAATGTCAGCTCTCACAAATCCGCATGACAGATTTTTGAGAACATTCTCACAATTAAAGCAGATGAGCAACCTTGCAGACAGCTCGCTTTTAATTTGGAACTAAACTCTCCATTGATTCACTGAAACATCATGTTGCCAACCCAGGCTTTACACAGATTCATTTAACTGACTTTAACACTCTGAGTTTAAAAGGGGAGATGTTGCATATTTCCAGTCGCTGTGCCTGCAGAGTTATCAATTATAATGATTTCTACAGTATTTGCTCAATCTGTATGTCTTCTTGACAAGTTATGTGATACTGGACCTGCTTCACTGGTGCAGACATAAAATGAGTGTCACAACTTAGCAGCTCACATTGGTAATTTATACAATGGATTCAGACCACATTTATCCAGGCATTCAAAACCCTAGAGTCCTTGTGCCCCAGTCAGAACTGAGCAACCTTGTTTCTCAACAGTAGCTCACTTTTAAAAATGGGCGTTCAATAATTTCAGCAGTCTCAACATAAACATTCGTTAATTCGGTTTACCCATAACCCATTCCTTTAGACAAACAAAGCAGACCTCGCGCTCATGCCATGTACCGACTTCTGCAACAGATTACCATCAAATAACTTAAACAAAGCTGGACACATATGTCTGAGTCATTTGGAAACTGAAGATCACAGGAATGAAGCTTTGTCATACCAATTATGTAAAGTCACTGGAAAGAAATCCATGCATTTTTGCAAGCAGGCAAAGTAGGCTTTTCATGGAACAAAAGGTGCATTGTCTTTTTCTGTTATGTGCAACTCCTAATTAGAATCAATGATTTCTTACAGTTGGCCCAGATAAGCTTGTTTGCATAGCTGCAATTTCTTAAAACAGAAATCTGAACATTACTAGGAAAAGACACCTAATGGCAGTAGGACAGACCTTGAAGAAAAGGGGCATTGCTTGATGTTAACACCTGATTAACCTTGGAGGCAATTCTGCAAATGTTAAACAGTAAAAAATATTAAAAAGAGCCAAAGAAATTTCAAACTTTGTTTGAAAGTATTTATAGAAATGGGCCAAAAAGGCATCCTGTCATCTTTTCCTTGAGCTTGTGCCACTTGATGACCAATAGGAAGCAATCAAATAGGGGGAAAAGAGATAGTGGGAAATTATTTATAACCACTCTTTGAATCAAGAACACTGCTTCATGGAACATTACATTTCAAGATTCATGCAGAAACAGCTCTCGAAAAAATTTCCTACCACAGTGACATCTTTCTAAAACAATTCACTTATGATCTTGAACTTCATAATTACGAGTGTTAATTCTCAAGAGCTGAGTACTCATTAAGTTGCCATATAGCCCGAAAAACAATGTTAAGAAAATATCAAACCCAAATTGAAACAGCCTTTAATTGACAGAAAAAATAAGCACTCTGAGTGGAGAAAAGTGATACCAGAAAACAATCACCATGTGGCTATACCAACATTTAGCAAAACATGATGCATTGACCACAACTGAGTGCCACGGCAGTTCTAGACAAAACAGTCACAGCATCCTCACTAGCTCCTCTTTCTGAATTTCCTTTCTTTAGTTCAGCACAGACACAGACACAGACCTTCACAGTGACTATCTATAAAAAGACCACCCTGTTTCCATGCAGATTGTTTAGAAAGGTTTGTTCATCAGTTATTCAAACGCTGTTAACACATGAACAGCAACTGCATTTCTGGAAGAGAGGACTCCACTGCACTGGATATATTTGGTAATATCCTTGTACAAGACGTCTATTTCAACCACTTACAAGGAGAGTCTGCTATAACCATGTTCTGAACAGTGCTTAATCTTTATACTGTTCAAGTTCTTTGGAAACCTACCCTGTAAGTATCTATGTATAAAAGTACACAAGCTTTTCGCATCTGCTAGATGCCTCCACACCTAATTGGGACTATAATGACAATAAAACAGAAATGCTCAGGGATCAGAGTAAATCAAGATGATTCTTGCATTCTCAGTGTTTGGACTACCGTGCTTGAGGCTCAGGGGAGACCTTATTGCTCTCTTCAACTACCCAAAAGGTTGTAGTGAAGTGGGGGTCAGTTTCTTCTCCCAAGCCCTGGGTTAACATTTGGACTCTGTGATGTTAAAGGTCTTTTCCAACACAAACGATTCTATGACTATGTAAACCTGTGTTCAAGACATGTCATAAAAGTCAATGGAATCACTGAATTGTGCATCACAGACTTCAAGACTCTGCCTGGAGGAATCTCTCTAACGTCTACAAGACTATTGCTTTGCAACTTACCCTTTAAAAGTTCACAGGACCAGTCCGTTCTCTTGAGTCCTTTAAACATTAGGTCAGTAAAAATACCTGAAATAAGATCTGAATGCTGAAGAAATGTCAAAGAACACCTTAGTATGTCCAAATGCTTCAGAATATATTTGCATTCATTTTGCAACATATTTAGTGCAGAAAGGTATGTGGCATTTTTCCACTTCCTAATCACTCAGTACAAATAATCCAATGATTGTTCTATGCAGCTTAATTCTCAACACTTGTTTTTAACGCCTATGTTCACAGATAAACCATAAGACTCAGATGTCTGGGAAGTTTTCCAGAACACCAGAAGCATTAATTAAATCTCTAATCCTTAGGAAATCAGTGTCAATCACCTGAGTAAAGCCGACAGTATGTTTACTTTTACTTAAAACTGTATTTCCTTTCTGAAGAAGTAACATTGCAATGCACAGCACAATCAATTAACTAGTTCCCTCTACTTCTCTCTTCCTTCCTTTGAAACAGAATAATGTTTTCTGGGAAAGGTCCCTGTCTGTTTCTGTTGTACCTGTATCATAACTTGCATTTTCTGTTTTCCCACCAGATATTGTCAGACTTTTCTACCACTGAATGCTTCAAAGTTTACTCTCTCTGTTCCTGATACACATTGAGTCATCAACCAAGCAAGGATGCTGAAAATGTAAAGTAAAATTGACAAAAAGAAGTTATTTAAAAAGATTTTATGGCTTGGAGAGTAATCCAATTTCCAAATACTTAACACAAACGTGCTCCAAACCCACAACATTAGCATTTAGTCTCCTAACCCCCGTCATCCCCCCAGCTTTGAATTCAAATAATTTTCTAGTTTTAAATCCAAGTTTAAAAAACAAACAAACAAAACACAAAATCAAAACCAACAAATCAAACAAAAGCCAAACTCCAGAATACCCTCTAAATTTCTTTCAGGTGAAATTTTGGCAGATGCAAAGTTTGGTTTAGGATTCCATACTTCAAGTAGATGAAACTTAAGAGTGCTTCATTTTTTAAATTTATCATTTATTTGTAGTTTGGTACAGCAATGAAAGATATCTAAAATATATTCTATTAAAATCATTCTACAGGGAAATAAAAGTAAGTAAAATATAATCTTTGTGCTTATCCACAAGCACAGAGAGGTAATAAATAAGAAACCTTTCCATACAAACAGAAGTATTTGTGCAATTAGAAATGTTCATTGCTATTTTTGGATGCTTCACAGTCATGTTCTGGATTACAGTGAAAGTAAAAACATGCCTGCTTGCAAAATTTCATTAAAGTTCTGGTTTAACTTTTCAATTATCTAAGTCAAAAGGCAAGAAAAGCTGGTTGAAATACTTAATATCAAAATTAAATTATTCATTAGAAGAACAAGAATAAAATTAGATGTTCCATAAGTTTTTTATTCTGTAACATGAAATACAGCTCTTTGACTATCATTTTTCACTAGCATGAGTTGTACATCTGCATGTAGAAAGCAGCTTGCTTTGCATTTTTGAATGCATAAAGAGATGTTTTGATATTTAGGGTCAGTACTCTGGGTTCCGTAAGCCTTCATGTGCTCGCTGAACTCCAGTGGAAGCTGTGCATCTTCAGCAACCAAAGAAAAAGCACCTATCATTACGTTTTGAATTATGGACACATTATGTATTTCATACTGAAAGAATAATATTAAAAGAGCATTATTACCATTGCTGAGAGGTAAGTTTTATTAGCTTGGGCTACATGCCATATGATGTGATCACATGAGTTTGAACATGTTTGTGAAGGCACACCCAGAATTCATAATTTGTTTTTTCTTTAAACAGCTCAGACATCATAACCAAAAACAGTAGGTTACTAAGATTGCACAAACTTGTGAGAGTTAGGAAGTCTTAGCTTTATGATTGCAAATTAAAACCCAACTTTGCTCTATCTATACACCATGATATTGTTTAATTAGTTATATATCTCTGCCTTTTCCATGTTATTTCTGTTTCAGTTTGTTTACTGAGTTAGTTAAAAAAATCAGCAACAGGCAACTACAAACTTGGCATTTTCTAATTTTCAGCAACTTGACAATTAAATTACTGTTCCTTTGACATTGTTTATGACAAAGTGCTCAAATGCTACTTTAGCATAGTGAAAAGTTCTTTTGCAAGCATGTAAGCAAAAACAAATTCGAAAATTTTATATTGTTTCTATTTTGTCAAGATTTCAATACAATCTAGGATGCGATACTGTCTTCTCTTATCAAAAAACAGCGGCATGTACTGTACATAAAATATTTGCACATGCCAGATACAATACACCATATGAAGACACACTGCTAAAGCCTGGAGATGGAAAAAAAATTCCCAATCATTTTTACAGGATGCATTTCTGGTTTTAAACAAAACTTCATCTTGAACACCATTTTCCAATCATATGTTCTTCAAATAGCACACACACAAATCCATTTAAATACTCATGCTCACCCAAAGAAGTTTTCTTGTGTCTCAAAAAAAAAATTATACAACTGTTTTAAGTTTCACATTCTTTTTTTTTTTCACCATAGCTTCTGTTTTAGGTGTTTCGTAAACTGATGTATTGTGGGATAATTTCAGATATTTAGCAGATATTAAATGGATGTTGCTTCAAATTTGACAGGAATACTAGCAATTTGATTGGTTTAAATCACATCAAGCAGTTATGCTAAAAAAATGTTATCATGTAACACCTTCCATAATACTAGTGGCATTGTGCTGAAACACAACTCAGAACTTAGAGAAAACAAAAAAGACTGAATTCAGTTTCAAAAGGGGAAGCATTCTTAGTGTATCTGAATGAAACTGTAAAAAGATAGCTTGGAATTTATTTCTTAACTACATGCTGTTGCTGCTTTCACTAGAATAAATATATTAAGCTTAATGTTTGCACAGCATGACAATAAGGCTAATTAAATACCTCTTGTTGCAGCTGAACTTAAAAAGTAAAAATGCTCACTTTAAAAGAAGGGAATCTGAGCAGAAAATGAGCTCACAGGTAGAGACAATGAGAGCAAAAGGTCAGCATATGCCAATTGCCACTGTGAAGTTTCCACAGCTACTGGGAATTCTACTTTTTTCTAATGCAAAGGAAATCTGCAGAAGCCTCAAATGCCATTGTGTGGTAACTGCTGGCAAATGTTACAGATTATATATATCTCAGCCACTGGTGTACTTACTGCTTGCATTTCAACATTAGTTTTTCATTCACATTTTTCTTCTTTAACTTATTCCTACAAAGTTCAAGCTAATGTATAGATTAATGGATAAACACATTTGAACATGCCATACCTACCTCATATACAGAAGTTTAGGAATAGGCACTAAATATGTATTATCATGTCATAAATAATTTTTTAGGCATTAAAGCAGATCACTGAAAAGAAGAATGTTTTCCAGGTAAAATAAGTTGGAATAGAACCTGAAAGATGTTTTAATGAACAGTAAGGGAGCTCAATATATTTTAACAGTTATTTAATGGATTCCTATTCCAAATTAATCAATTTCTTGCATGCATCTACTCTTCAACTTCACAGATTTCCACCTAATAAAGCAAGGCCAAGTACAGTCACCTACACTGGTAAAAGAAAATGCAGGACTCCATAAAATTAAAGTTTTTTAAAATCAAAGGGGTTTTTTGTTATTGTTCAGAACAAAAACGAGTCTTCTGAAAATGGACAGGAATGAAAAATACACTATTATTTTTCCTTACACAGAGATATTATATTGAAACAAATTGATGAGACCTAATCTGCAGCTTCAGCAGCAAATTCAGTTAAAGATGGGAAAAAAGAGCCCAACTCACATAAAAACAACAGGTCAAAACAAATCTATCAGGATTGGTATGCAATTATTTTCCACTTCATGCTAGTTACCTTTGCACTGAAGGAACAAATATGTTCGGGGATTGACCTTAAAAGTGCTTATCTTTAACTTTGGATCTGATTATCCTGATCATCACATGTTTTGGTATGCTGCTAACCAATTACTGCTCACCCTTCAACAGTTTTATCTTTCAGAATCAAAGATGACTGCTCACCCAGAACAAGCAGGAACTAATGACTAGAGTATCGCTTGTAGCTATAGTTTATGACACTAGTTCAGATGTGGCAAAACAGATGCTGAGGTCACAGGGATATCCTACTTGGCTCTGATTTTAACTATAAGCATATCAAATACTGCAGTCCTAGCTGTTTCTCAAGTCTCTTAACTATATGATTTCATCATCACAGAAGGATAATAAAATGAATTTATGACGTTCATCTTATGAAGTTCACTTGAGTATCTGATTTCACATTATCTCTACTAGCACTACAACAACACAACTTGGAAGTAACCCTGAACTTTCACCACCGAAACCTTGTAAAGCTTGCTGATATAAAGCTCACTAACTATCACAGCAATGCACTGGGTATGCAGCACAGTGTATAATAATATTCTTTCATTATTATTCTTTCTGTGTAGAGAGAAATAATACTGACAAATAAACATAATGACATGATAAATATACTGACTAGCACCCATTGCAATATATGTTTAATGAGAAGATTGTCTCTTGCAAAATGCTAGGAACCATCAACACATGCAATGCTTACATAATGATTAGTGTGTGATGGCACTAGGGTGACTGCTGTAACGGCCTGCCTTTGATTACAGGATGCCCTGATATACATTAAGATAGTTCCTCCTAATGTCTGATTACTTCTGCTATATTCACTGTAGTAAATCTGGTTCATTCACATAATAGCTATGTATTTGACATTTTTTTCTTCCCTTTTCCTGCTAGGTCTACTAGACTGTCTGTTATTAGTCTGCGAACTGCAGTGGACATAGACTATTACTTCACAATAATTTTAGAGAAAGAGGCATTCTACATGTAGAACCAGAAAATAAATTATAGAAAACCCCTGGGTAGACAAATAAAGATTACAAATGGATTGCTTTCATTTTACATTTAAAAGCACAAATTCATACAGGTTTGGTGAAAAGTTTCAGATTTCTTTTGCATAATTTTTCGTGAATTACAGAAATCATACTTCATTATCATCTTGCTCAAAATGTTCTCCCAATATCTCATTTGGAATCTCTGTTTAAAAGCTTAAATTGTATTGATATGATTGCAAATTTTACTGCTTGATGAAAAGGTATGATGTTTGGCTGAAGTACAGTTTCCTAAATAATCAAAAGACCATGGCCCCTGAGCAACAGAAAGCCAAATACATTTTTCCAAATTCACACCATTTGTGAAATGGTAAAGAAAGAAAGGAGCAAGCTGTTTAACTGAAACACTGATAAAGAATGCCATTTCTGCATGCCCACATTATGAGGGTTATAATACCACCCTGAATATTTCTACATTTCATCATAATTCTAAACATAAAAGCAAGTTAAATATTTGGCTGTTCCTTCTGATGTGCAAACTTCTTGGTGCTATCCAGCAGTACTTGTTTAAGTTCAGTAAAATTAATCTCAACTTTTAATGTTTAAAAAGCAATCACTCTTTGGGAAGCTAATACAGATAATACCTCTCATGAACTTTAGTTTCAGTTTAGTAATTTCAAAAACTTTATCATATGAAGTACTTTATCCATTATTAATCATCAGTGATTGATAATTCCTTCAAAGCTAAGGAATCCTCAAGGAGGAATTATAATCATGAGAAGGTCAGCAAGTACCCTTTCTAAACAGGCAGGGCAAGAAGTATAGACTGCTACCAAAACAATGCTTTCCTCAGTCTTACAGGATCCCTTATCATAATTCTCCGACTAGAAAGACCCTAGGTACTTGGATTTCAGTGCTCTTTCACCATTCCCGCCCTCTTTCTTCACACTGTTGTCTGTCTTCACTCATCTGTGAGTTTTCGTGATGCCTGTTTTCGTATCTTTAATTCCATGTGATATTCCCTTGAAAAATTACTTTCTTGACTCACAATAATTCTTTTTTTTTCCTCATTCTCTCTCTCCCTGCAAAGTTGACGAGAAATACTTGAGGAGGAACTAAAATTAACGGTCTGATCCAATATATCTGGAGAGCATAAAAAGAATATTACAGAATTTAAAAAAATATTCAGAGACCAGGAAGCCTGAGTTAAAGCTCTGGTGTGACAAAAGGGAAGGATAAAGAGCCTTCCTAGTGTCAGGACACAATCTCTACCAGGTCCTTTAAATTCATGAGAGAAATCTGGGAAGATATCCACTCTTCCTGAAGGTGATTGACTGAAGAAACAAAAGTGAAAGAAATAAACTTTCTCTATGTACTGTACAAGCAAACATCAACATCATGGTTAAAAAATTATTCAACAAGCCACACACTGAAATTGACTCCAAGCACCAATTTATATTTCACCAAACGAAAACATATATGTTTCCTTCAAGTGAGTAATAATCAGCACTTATGCCTAGAAATTACATCTTTATCATTTTGTTAGTTCATGCTGAGGACTCAAAACAGCACTGGTGAGGTTGCTTTCTGCTGATACGAAATAAACACACAGTAAGTGTAAGCTTACTGTCATTCAAAATACAGACCATATGTAAGGCGAATAAAGAATCTGAATTACATAGATTATAGATGGTGCACTGGGGAATATGCATAAACTGATTCTTAACAGATAGATTATTACCCCATGTGACTATCTATGTGTGAGACTGACTTGCAGTGACCCTAAGAAAAACAGCAAGAAAAACATGACTTTAGGGGTTGAATGCT